CCCCCTCTCCCCACCTCCTCTTCTCCCCCAGAAAGTGGGAGGTAAGACAGTAGGGTCAAGAGGGATCTGGAGGTGACTTTTAACGGGGGCTTCAGCTTTTAATGTTGGGGCTTCTTTTATTGTCTTTTATTGACTTAGCAGCAGAGCTGCTCCAGTCACCCAGGGTGTGAAACATGAAAACAAGCCAACAGGTTGAACCAGCGAGGGTCTCCCCTGTCTTCCCATCATCACTAACGTTCCCTCGCACACTCCGGGGTGCAAGTTTGAGGATCTCCCCCAAGCTTATCTGTCATTTTAGACCTTCTCTTTGGGTCTAAGGTGGAGTGAGTCACCTGCCCAGGTGCCGCAGTGAGTAGGGACAGAGCTGAGCCCAGCAGCCAGGATGGGGGGTGGGAGGGACACTCAGAGAAGCCCCAGGGGAAGTTCGTAAGTGTCCCCACCCTCCTGAAAATCAGATACCATCTGGCTTCTCTGTACTTCCCAGAGCCCTCCAGGAACCCTGCCCACACACACCCAGACTGAGGTCACTGTGTGGCAGGGCGCAGGGCGGCAGGGGTGGGTGCAAGGGAGTGTACCGCCTCAGTGCCTGGAGACTCAGAGAGGCCCTGGGGAGAGAGCTGGGAGGAAGCCTCACCCGGCTCACCCCTTGGCACTCCAGTGTCTTCCCCTACCTGCTACAGAGCCTTGTAGGCCCATCACCCATCCCCACCCTGTGAACCTGGGTCCGGAGACTAAGGCCATTCCCAGCCCTTTTATGTCTCCCCACCCTCCACTACCTGCCCTCTGGCCTGGTCACTTTTGCACTCTACACTATATCCTGTGTCCTAAAGCCCTACTCCTTGGTCAAGACTGTAGTTAGTGCCCCACTTCCCAGGTGTTGAAGTTGAACTTGCTCCTGGCACTCAGTGCCCTCTGTGACTTTGCCCCAGATGGACAGCATTGCTGTGTGTGAAGACCTTGGCACAGATGGGCTGATTTAAATGCTCACAATAACCCTGCAAGGTGAGCATGAGTGTGCACCCATTTTACAGGCGAGAAAACTGAGGTTCAGAGAGGCAAAGTGACTTGCCTTAGGGCACTTAGCTAGGAAGCAGCAGAGTGGGAGTTGGAAGTCAGGGCTGCCAGACTCTGGAGCATTCTTCTAACAAGCCATGTGGCCTCCCACAACTGACCTGAGGGGTCATCTAATCCAACTGTTTTGTCACAAATGTGGGAATTGGCGGTGGGGGGGGGGGCTGCCCACAGTCCACAGTCATCTCCAGCTTCCCCTCTCCCTCTCCTTCTGGGCTGGCCTCACTGTCTCCCTGATAGTGAACCTGAGGTCACACAGCCCCTGGTCTGAGAATGCTCGGTGTGACCTTTGACCCCATATCACCACTTCCTTCCCAAACCCCACACCTCCACCCCACACCCCACCTTCCCAGGGACTCACGAGGTGATGAGCCTCTTTTCCAGGGGCCCAGCCACGTCGTACATGGCCAGCCGGTCCCGGCAGTCGGCCAGCGTCCACTCCAGCCGGAGTTTGAGCATGAGATCCTCGGGGCCCTGCAGGTGCCACAGGCAGCTGGAGACCAGGTAGTCGGGCCCCTTCAGCTGGAGGACCTGGCCCCGGCCCACGTAGCTGTATCGGTAGCAGCCTGGAGGGGGGAAAGGGACAGGCTTCCTGACCTCTATTAGCCAGGAGGAGAGACCTGGGGAGCCAGCCCCTGCAGGTCCTCACTGGGGC